GAGAGAGAGAGAGAGAGAACCTAGTTCAATTCATATTTGCAACGTTTCACTGTTACCAGACAGGGGTTTTGCAAATGCAGCACTGAGCACACCACCAATCACCGATCTGCTACCTGGTGATTACTCCTGCAGGGCAGATAATGATACCCATTAGGACACAGGCCTTGGACTCATATGATATCATTTAGATGTAACTTGTCAATCCGTGTTGGCCTTGCTCAGAGATTCCGTCCTAACCTGATGAGCAAACACAGCCCTTTCCAAGGGCTACAGTCTTCTTTAAAAATATATTTTTATTGATTTCAGAGAGGAAGGGAGAGGGAGAGAGAGAGAGGGAAACATCCATGATGAGAGAGAATCAGTGATCGGCCGCCTCCTGCATGCCCCCACACTGGGGATCGAGCTTGCAACCCAGGCATATGGTCTTACTGGGAACCGAACCCATGACCTCTGGCTCCTGAACCACTGAGCCACGCCAGCCAGGCAAACAAGGGCTACATTCTTAAAGGAGATAGGAGAATGACGCTAAACAGGGAAAATACTCCCCCAGCACAGCTCAGAATGCATGCCGGGGGGGAAATAAAACCAAAATAAATAAGGATTGAATTTTCTAGCCTAAATCTCCAAAGACATATGAGGAAGGGAGGAGGTTTAATCCTACCTCAGATTTACTATTCGGCTTCTCTCCGTCTCCCCTTACACATCCTTTTTTTCGTGGACGCCATCAGAATTATATTCCCAGATCACCCACTTTGCAGGCAGCTCTTAACTACGACTCTGACCTGTCATTATGTCAGCATTCTGGGTGGAAGGGGCAGGAACGTGTCAGCAGAAAACCAGACACGGGGTTGACATGCAGTTTCCAGTACATACAAGGGTTGAAGGGAAAAAAGAAAAAAAGCCAGACAAACACATTCAACTGGAACCTTGTAGGGCAAGATCCGTGCTGTAACGGGGCAAGGCTCTGGGCCCCACGCTCCACGGCCAAGTGTCCCACAAATGCCAGGAGCTGAGTTGTGGCTCCTCTAACCTTTTAAAAAAAATATTTTTATTGATTTCAGAGAGGACAGGAAAGGGAGAGATAGAAACATCCATGATGAGAGAGAATCATTGATCGGCTGCTGCCTCCTGCACGCCTCCTACTGGGGGTCGAACCCACAACCCGGGCATGTGCCCCGACTGGGAATCAAACCCGGGACCTTTCAGTCCACAGGCTGACGCTCTAGCCACTGAGCCAAACTGGCTAGGGCTCCTCTAACCATCTTAAGCCTCAACGGTTAGATGCATTTCCCGGGGTGCCATGTCCCCTAAAACCAGTGACAACCACAACCGCAAGGACCCTTTGCACCTCGTGGCAGGCTTTCGGCTCCCGGGACTTTGCTGGTGCTGTGCCCATTGCCTGGGTCTGTATTTCTCCTCTGCATCCTCCATCTCCCCTGCAACTCTTCCCCACTGGCTGCTGGATTAGTTGAGACCCATGGTTCTCAAAGTGTGGTCTGGGCACCCCTAGTGGTTCCCTGAAGTGGAAACTCGTTTCATCATGATTCTAAGACACTGTTTGCCGTTCTTACTCTCATCCTCTCAGGTGTGTAGAGTGGAGTTTTCCAGAGGCTTCATGACACGTGACATGGCGACAGGTTGAAGGCAGAAGCTGCTGTGAGAATCCAGCTGTCTTCTACTAAAGCCGGACACTAAGGAGATTTTTGAAAGCCTCACACAAAGCCACTCTTCTAAGTTTTTGTGTTGGAAAATGTGTTATGTTTCATGAAAATGTTATTTATGCTCATGTATAAGAGGTTTATTATTATTAATTTTTAAAATATATTTTTATTGAGTTCAGAGAGGAAGGGAGAGGGAGAGAGAGAAACATCAATGATGAGAGGGAATCGTTGATCGGCTGCTTCCTGCACGCCCCCCATTGGAGATCGAGCCCACAACCCGGGCATGTGCCCTTGACTGGAATCAAACCTGGGACCTTTCAGTCCACAGGCCAACGCTCTATCCACTGAGCCAAACCGGGCAGGTTTAGTATTTTAAGTGATATAAAATATATCGTTTTTTTTCAGTTTTAAAGCGTCTTGAGGTTTGAAGAATTTATAAAGGGCTCTGGCCAGGTAGCTCAGTTGGCTAGAGCATCGTCCTGATACACCAACATTGTGGGGTCGATCCCCGGTCAGGGCACATACAAGCAACAACCAGTGAATGCAGAAATAAGTGGAACAACAAATCGATGTTTCTCTTTCTATCTCCCTTCCCCCTTCGCTCTCTAAAAGGAAAAGAACTTGTAAAGGGATTGTGCGGCCAAAACTTTTGAGAGCAGCTGCTTCCCTCCGACCGCTTCTTCCAGGCAGCCTTCCCTAACTCTTCAGTCTGGTCAGGGGCCCTCCCCTGTGCCCACAGCAGCCTATGCATCTCCCATAAGAGCAGCCACCGCATTCAGTGTAAGCACCTTTTTAATGGGTCTGTCCCCACCCAGGCCTTCGTGGGCAGGGATGTGTCCACAGCACCTAACGCAGATAGTTCTTAAATATCTGTCGACGAGCCCTAGCTGGTTAGACTCAGTGTACAGAGCGTCGGCCTGCAGACTGAAGGGTCCCAGATTCGATTCCGGTCAAGGGCATGTACCTGGGTTTGCGGGCACATCCCCAGTGGGAGATGTGCAGGAGGCAGCTGATCGATGTTTCTAGCTCTCTATCTCTCTCCCTACCTCTCTGTAAAAAATCAATAAAATATATAAAACAAACAAATAAATAAAAAT